ACAGACACACACACTCATACACACAGAGAAACAGACACACACACTCATACACACAGAGAAACAGACACACACACTCATACACACAGAGACACACACCTTCATGTTTATCTGTTCATTAAAATAACGTGGCTCTGTGAATAAATGATGACATCATCATTTACAGACGTCACATGACTTCAACTTCCTGCTGAAGGAAAAAAGAAACAGTGGACCAATGAGGAGACAGGGTTTCTTTACCTTCCTTTGATCTTTTTCACTGGCTCACTGACATCATCTCTTTTTCTGCAGTGGTGTCAGCATCAAAGGAGCAGCAACACTGTTTATCTCCGGATCCTGATGGTCACAGGATGCAAACTATTTTATTTTGACCATTTTCTGAAAGTTTAGTTAAAATCTGTTGCTTTTATTTCTGAAAAAAATCAATAAATATTGATAAAAATCATCAAACAAACAGTTCAGTGTTTTATCGTCTGATCAGAAAACATTTGATCAGTCACGTGTTGAGAAAAGAAACCGACTTTTTGTTTGTCTTGAACAAACGGAGTTTGTTTGACGTCAGGTTTTTTTAACTTCCGTAAACAGCTGCAGAAAAAAAAGTTTCTCTTTAACATTAAAACCTGGAGGGAAATTAAATTTATTTCTGTTTAAATATGAACAAAAGTTTTGAGGTGAATTGTCTCTTCCATCGAATTAAAATATTCTCATTTTTATCTCAGATATAAATATAAACACACACACACACACACACACACACAGTGTGCTGCCACAGGTTCTTTTTCATGTTTGGGAGGAGAGGGGGGGGGGTTCAGCTGCAACATGACACTCCAACACTAGATATCACTAAATTCTACACACTGAACCTTTAAATAAGATAAATAATAATAAATAACCTGATGTTTCTCAGTGATGTAGTATCAGGATGTGACCAACAGATGTCACAATTCAACAATATATAAAGGACAGAGGATTTAAAGGAGCAACAAACAATAACTAGTTTTCACACAATTGGACCCTTCTCATTTATTGAATCAGCTCCAACATTTAATGACGTCTCAACATAAATTCTGTTTAATTGTGACGTGATCCTGTTGATGAAACATCAGATGTGTGTGAAGTTTTAACATCTGTGAACATCCACATTAAATAAGGGAGTTGATCTTTATTCTGTTTTCTACTTTAACAAATTCAAGTTGAGTCGCTGAGATAATATTGTTATTGAAACGTCTGTTTCTCATTTATTTTCTGTCACATGACTCTCAGGGGACCCTTTCACATTAAAAGCTTCAGATAATAAAACATCTTCCTCCTGTGTGAGTCGCTGCTCTGAGTTTTCCCACAGTTCAGTCTGACAGGATCACAGATATCACACAGGAGGGGGCGGGGCCCGTCACTGCAACAAGCCACTGATGAGTGGGAGTGGAACAGACGACTGATAAACATCTGCAGCCAATCAGATGACTCTGAGAGAGAGACACCAACAATAACAGGTCCCAGAGGAGAGAGAGGGGCGTGTTTCAATTAAGCTGCTTTCAGACCTGAACTCCAGAGAGAATCGTCTCTGGAGGAGGAGCCTGTCTGAGAACGACTTTTAAACTAAAACCACCTCCGTGCTCCGTCCAAACTAAAGATGTTTCCACATGTGAACTGTGTAACATGTTGTGTAGTCATGTTGTGTAGTCATGTTGTGTAG